GCTGTTGCTGAATGGTGACATTGAAAGTGGGGGAAAGTTACAAAGCTTACAACTAACAAATACTAATCAGCAGTCCAGCTTTGCTCAACAACATCACGCACTCTTCTGTTGTACTCGCGCTTGCTTTCGCTGTACATCCGAGCGGCTTCCGAATTTGCAGGAGAATTCGGATTAGGGTCACAGAGCAATGACTGCGAATAACAAAGGGGAAAATGGATTAGAGAACAAGAGACTAATTTCAAGCTTTCAAAGGCGTTAAGACAACAAGTGACTAATTTCAAGCTTTCAAAGGCGTTAAGACAACAAGTGACTAATTTTAAGCTTTCAAAGACGTTAAGAGATGTTAGTATGTGGCATTTCGGTATTACCTGGATGGAGGTAAGTATAGCAGCAACATCATATATTGGACTCCACTGGTTTTGCAGAATGTCCAAGCAAATACTCCCATCTGCATAAACTGCACAGCAAGTAGAGAAGAAGAAGCTTAATTAGAGCCAAAATCTGAATGGTGGAGAGAAAAACCAATGTTGTATCTCTATAAGACTTACTATTTGGATGGAACATCCGTGACACGAAACGAACTGTTGGTGGTTTATTTGGATAATCTTCAGAGAACTGCAGTGACAGTTTGAAAGTACCTGACAGTATTAACCAAGAGCGATAAGAACACCACTACAAAGATCCCAAAATCTCAAGATAAATGATTCTTTCCAAAATTGCAATAACAAAGCCTTACCTCCGTCCCATGGCGTGTCATCAGGCCTGCAAATTTAGAAACAAGAAAAGGTCTAAGTATGTACAGAAACTTTCATGACTCAGAAACTAAAGCCAGTATCTATGGTACTTGTGCCGTTACCCGAATATAACAGCATTCCAGAGCATGATATTGTTGTCTTGAGGAGCACCGCTTATTCCCGCAGGTGGGTCTTGCTGCAACCTCTTGAAATCCCTCATCAACCTCTTCCTTGCTGGAGTCGACATCGTCCTCTTGTCTATACAAAAAAAAAAAAACCCATATAATCCATCACTCCAAATCCTGATAACCTCTATGAATCTTGGAATGAACTGATTTCCAAAGGTTTGGGTATGCTAAACTGCTAATATGTAATAGACTCGAATCTTCGGAAAAAAAAGTCTACGACCTATGACAACTAACTAGCTTAGAAGCAAACATATTGAAGAAACTTCTTTCCAAAACTAAGACTTTGGACCTAGAAACAGCTTAAGGCCACATCAATTCACCAAAATAGCTACAAGAATGACAAGAAACAGCTCAGATGAAAGTAAATTGCTAGAAATGTAAAGACTCGAATCTGCAAAGGAAGCCTACGACCTCTGAGAGCTAATTAGCTTATAAACAAACATCAACCGCAAAAAAATTGCAGAAAATCTTTTCAAAACGAAGACTTGAGGCTAGAAACAGCTTAAGACCGCAACAATTCACCGACAAGAAACAGCTCAGACGAAGGTAACATCAACGGATCCAAGCAAAGAAAACATCGAGGAAAAGAAAAGAGCAGATGAAAACGTACCGTGGAAACAGATCTCGTTGTCGAGTAAAAAAAAAGAAAAGGAAGAGGGTAAAGATCGCGGCGAGAATAGGTCGTCAAGCAAACATCTGTGTCTCTGCGGCGTTGACCGCCGGTGATCAGAGAAATTTCCGATCGATTCGAGATCGGCGATTCTCGGATTTCACCGTGCGATAGAGAGAAGATGGGGAAACAAATTTCAATGATATATTTAGGGAACAACGTATATCGTACGCAGTGAATGATGATGATCTTCTAGAAACTTGCTCCTCTGACATACATATCTGTATATAAGTTGTTGGATTTGCTTTTTGCCCTTTAGACGAGCCGACTGGTTTCTTAACCGGATTTAACCCGTTAGGGCGAACTGTACCCGTGAACCGGACTTAATCAATAACTTAACCCCGAAGATTAGAGTTATTGAACAAAGAAAAAAATACTACCAATTTGACATTAATTTTGATAATTTAATAACAAAATAATATTTCATTGTACCTACATTTTAGGATTAGAGGTACTAGACCGAAACAAACCATTGTACCACCAAGTCACTAACCGAGCATAATCAAACCGAAAGAGCAGTGTGATTTTACAAAAGAAAAAGGCTTGTGTTGTGTTCTTACTCTGTCTTGCATCTCCAATCTATCTCTCTAGATTTTCCATCAAGTCTCTAAATTTTTTGACACTTGCTCTTGGATCAAAAAGTAAAAACAGCTAAAGCAATACAAGACAACAATCAAAAAGATGTTTTGAGATACAACTACGTCCCTAAGACTTTCCATCATCTACTCCATTCATAGTCTCCTCCATAGTTAGGAGGAGCGTTGTTCGTACGGTTTGTCTCTTCTGGTTTGATGGAGCTTGCAAATGCATGCCAGCCTATAAGGTAAGGCAAGACGAACTTGCGATACAGGAAAAAAAAAAAGCGAGTTTAGAAAGATGTCCATTCACACGCGCACAACGCAGGTAATGTAAAGTTGTGAGAGATTTTATTGATCTTACATTGAAAGCAGAGATAAGAACAGCAAACTCTGCTCTAGTGATTGGTATGTAAATGCTCTCATCCACATTCAGAAGCTTGTTTTGAACACCTAATATGTAGAGGAAGCTCGAAAACCATCAGAGACCGACCAAGTTTGAATCTTTTCGACAAGAATCATTAAGAAGATCATATTCACTTACTTAGGTTGAAGAAGTGTCCTGAACCATCTGGGAGAGGCTCAACTTTCAACACTTTCCTAACTTTTCCCTCATCACTACATACAACAAACACACCGATCACGAGCAAGCAAATTAGTATACACCCAATGTTGTTATAAGCGTAGTGATGTCTTTTACCTTTTCCCCTTGTTTGGATCATGGAAGAATTCACAAGATTCCCTCAGGCCTAAGCTAACAAGAGTTCCGATTTCTGTAACCGACAATGAGAACACCTGCAACATTTTGACATCAAGAAACATCTTAATTCATCATTAGAGAAAAAATGGCTGCCTTGTTTCACCAAATCCAGTGAAGATGATCTTAGCCAAATTTTATAGAATACCAAACCTGTTTCTTGCTCCAATCGTATTGTCGTACACCAGCTGAAGGAGCAAACTGAAGCAAAAGAAAACCGTCTTTCGACAACTTGAATGCTCCAGACTGCACAAAACAACAGAAATCAAATGGAAAACTCAAAAACCATAGTTTGTACAATTAGAGGCTCTTTGATCTTTTGAGGGATAGAGACTTACGTCTAAAGACACAAACTCTGGTGCTCTTGGCTCCACTGTTAAGGCAGCTTTCCCTTTGTAAATCGAATGACCCACGTAAAACCTTGCGGGTAATCCTTCAGCTACCAAATCAAATACAAGTAAACATCACTATTGGGTTTTACACACAAGCTCCATTTCTAGAACCAAGAACTCTCTTTTTTTTTGGAT